CATAGAAATATCTTTACTAGAGTAAAATGCGTCTAAAAGCCCTTTAAGCCAAATATTACTAATGAGTTCCTGTTTGTTAGAGTACTCTCTCAATTTCGACATACCAAGAAATGCTCGTCCGAATACACTTCCTTATGTCTCGTAGCGTTCATAAATCATAAATCATTTTATCTTTTGTCTCTGTTTCACTTTTTGAGTTTGTGAACTTAAGAAATGCACTTGTGAAAATGTCTCTTTGGAAGAAATCTCCTATGAAGTTCCTCCAAACTTTTTATCTATTCTCGAGGGAGGGCTATCAAATCTTTGAAGTACCAAAACGTTTAAGAGAAAAGATCCACTCTCTCCCCCCCCTCCTTTCTTCCTTATATACCTCTCTTCCTCTCTGTGATGTGTCGATCATTAATGGTGACAAGAACTCTCATCCTTTCTCTTCTTGCTCTTTAACCATTTAAGGTTACTGTCTTTTCTTATAGCCTAACTTTTATTTTCCATTTCTAGACATTGTAGCTGCTGGGTAAGAAGCCTAAGCAATAGGTCTCCAATTTCAAAACTTGTTGATTTAACCTATTGGTATGCTATCACTTTACTTTTAGTAGACAAGAAGGAAACTTGTACTATAGTTATTGTTCAACAGTTAAAAACTTATTTTGCTAAGTATATCTTATTTCAAGAACCTTTTTTGCCCCATAGATATGTTACTCATGCAACACTAACCTCCTAGGTATTCGTTGTCTAGATGAGTGCTTCATAATTTTTTTCCTTTATCTCAATAGTTTTACGTAAATTTTGCTATGTAGTCTTTCAACTATAGATATCTCTTTTTTTCTTGAAATTTTTTTATTTAGACTTCTTTAATAGTTTTTTTCATTTTTTTTCACTTTTGCCATTAACAATTTATTCTATCTCTAACTTTTTTTATGTTAAATTTATGAAATACAATAGTATATCGTTGAATAAGAATTCTTTTGTACTTAACTAAATTGTATATAATGTAGAAAATTTTTGGCCATTTTCTCTTCTTAGAGGGTTAGCTTTGGTTATCCAAAAAATGTATGATATTTTTATTCTATTATATAATATTATAGAAAATAACAAAAGTAATAAAACGAACCCATATATATATAAATTACTTTTTAATTAAAATTTATTTTGATAAAAGGTCTGCATCAAAATAAATCTATAATTATAAGAAAATAAAAGCACAAAAAATATTTAAAAATTGCACCTAAATTTTATCTTTTATAAAACAAATTAATATTAAAAGAAAGTGAAATTAAGTTCACACTTATTGACTCTATTTGAAACTTTTTTTATAAAAAATATTTTGAATTTATACAATAAAGGAAAGTAATTAAGCATTCCATGTTTCCTTTTTAAATAGTTATTAATTATATTTTTTCTTTGTTTCTTTTTTTATTTCTAGTGCCACTCAAGGATATCTTTCAATTTCCTTTTTAAGGTCAATAGTCAACTCCAGATTTACCCTTACGTGGGCGGATTAATTATTCTCGGGCTGATCAAATATTAGAAGTCCAAAGGGAACTCTCCTACATTATTTATTAAGCAAAGGTCTATGGCCCAATTTAAATCAATTCTCAAATAAACAAATTGAAAGCCCAATTAATTTCATAAACCAAATTACAGACTGCGTAGTTGACAAAAAGGAAAAAACTCTTTACAAAGGAATAAATGTTTCATAATGAACAAAACCAAATTAGAAAAGAACGAAAGAAAAATCCAACCGAATAACTAAGTGAAATCGAACCCAATGAGGATGATTTTGTTTGGTTTTCATTTTAGAAAACTAACCAGTTTGGTTTTTGCTTGTCATTTATAATCAACTCATATTCTATAATTTTCTTGCATCATAACCTAATTTCAAATCAACATTGTTTAATTACATATTTAGGATATTTGATCAGGCTTAAATATATTTCTGTTTTTAATATTTTTATGAGATTTTATTTTTAGTCTTAAAAAATTCTTTTAATCTTAGTTCCATTCCCCCCCCCCCCCCCAAATTTAACAGTTATGGCCCCTAATGATGACATGACCGAGTAAAATATTGACACATAACAACATTTTTGTTTAGAAACTAAGAGTATTGAATTTTGAAAAATTGGGACAAAAACAAAAATTATTTTGAAGAAATAAAATTAATATCACTCATATATATATATATATAACAAAAATTTAAGCATTTGATTATAATTATAATGTTTTTATTAAATTTTTAAGCTAATATATTATGAATAGGGTTAGCAATGAAATTGGACTGACACAACTATTGATAGAGGTTCTCTGGTAAAGGTTATTTGTCTTACTATTTTTTTATTTTTAAAATTTTTATATTGATAAAGATAATAATATTATAATAATTATAAATATTATATCATTTTTATTTCTAAAATGACTAATATTAAAATTAAAGTTATCTTTTACTTCAAGGTTTTTATTTTATTATTATTTTTTCTTAATTTTATGTATTATATTATAGTTGTGTCATGTCCTACATTTTTTTTAAAAGTTGCTGCATTTCAATATCTATGTCGCATCGTATTCGTTTCTCGTGTCGTATTCAACTTCTATTTGTGCTGGTGAGATTAGGGGCTGAAGGATATGTGTTTTTCGTTTCTTTTGTTCGACTCAATGGGAGATGTGTGGTTTACAATTGCAAGATGGACATTATCGATGGTTTGCTAAGGACACTGGGTCAGATGAAGATGAAGAGAATTCCAGTGGGTGTCTTTTTATGATATCTTAGGGCATTGTCATATTTTTATCGTTTCCTATTAAAAGAAGATAATTGTAATTGAGGGTCCAATCCTTGTGAGTACTTATGTGTCTTGGGAATAAGCAAAGTGCTAGTTCTTACTCCATAATTAGCATTTATTAGTTTGTAATGGAAGTATATGCAGCTTTGACTCGTAAATAATCCAAGTACTGTGGTCTCAAAGACTTGTAGTAAATTATGTGTATATTAAAATTCTATTGGTCCTTGTTCCAATGTCATGTACTGTGCTTTAGAAATGGAACTACTAATTCAATGAACTTGGCATCATGAATCATTTCCCTAATGCGAACATACATACAGGGTATATGCAGACATAAGGTGGGTATAAACATGGATTGTTCCCAATAGATAATGTTCTATAGAAAGAGAGTATAGGGTCTACATGAGAAGGAATTTTCTTTCCTAAAGTAGTTTGTGTTTTTTGTTTGAGCAGAAAAAGGTATTGTTAGGAGGGTATCACATATCCAATTAAGGGCCTTGTTTTCTTACTTTATGACAGATAATAGAACATTTGGATTTGACTTTACTTCTCTGAGTTACTAGTGAAAAATTCTATTATTATGATTAAAGATTTAACTTTTCTTAGGTTAGAGGAATGGATATTAAGGAACAAACTTGAATTATTCTTAATAATTAAAATATTAAGATTTTAACGAGTTCATAATTTCTAATGAACAAATTATTAGTATATTTCATTTTTGAAGTGTGCCTCTATTCAGGCAAATATTATTATGCATAAGAGCGCATTGGGGGCCACAAATGAGAAAAATCCAAATTTTGGAACGCAAAAGCAACCAACAGATTCTTATCCCACGTCTCACAGGGTCTCGTTAATGGTACCTAATGAAGCCACTGTTCATGAATGCTTCTTGTCCTCACTCAATTTCGTTTTGTTGCAGACACATCCACTTGAAAAATAATGATTTAGACCATACAGAGGATGAGTTCAAATATATTATTTATTTAAAAGTTCATTTAATAATTTTTTAAAATAATAATTTATATCATAAATATAATTATTACATTTATTAAAACAAATACAAAATAAATTACGTCAAAAATTATTATAATAAATTAATATATATATATATATATATATTTTATTTATGCAGCTGTGTCAAATATTCAAAAGAAGAATTTATAAGATTGACTCCGATGGAAAATATTGTAGTCTAAAAAACCTGCTTTATTCAATTGAGTAGCTGCTTGTTCCAATGTTACTTTTTAGATTTTTCAATTTTATTTGCGTGGTTTAATTTTTTGTTAACTTTTATGCACACTTGGCTCATTCAATTTGTTGAAGTCACGTGGCCTCTCAATTCTCTGTTACCACCATAATTATTTGGTTCATGTAAATTTAAATTTCTTATCACAGGCTTAGACTATAATGAGAAATTATTAAATGCATCATCGTTCAAAATATAATGAAGATGTTGATGATTTTTTTTCAAATGATCTTTCTACAACTACTTCTAGATGTTGATGATTTTATTAAATAATCACCAATATAATATATAACGGGTGAGATCTGTAAAGCAAAGATATAATGATGTTCCCGCCTAAAAACTTAATTTATTTCGTCGTGATTCTAAAATTCATAAACATACTGGGTCCACCTGTAGAATTAAAATTAATCAATTTCTGAATTTGTCCTATTAAGATTATCTAATATTAGTTGTACTCTCTTATCATCAATTTCAATCCTCACTTCCAGTTTTTCATCGATAAAGCGAAGTAAGAAAAGCAAGGTTTGCCCCTCGTTTTGCAAAGTGAAAAGAAGCGAATTATACGATAGCAATAAATGCAGGGAAAGCGAAAAGAGCAAGTCGTTCATGAATGCAATAAACCCCTCACATTTAATTAAACCAAAGAAAATTTATAATAAAGAAAAAAAAATAGGCACCAAGAGATTGCCCTCGTCTACATGCAGATACATTGACATTAAAATATAAAAAAGCACATGTCAAATAAGAAAAAGGGCGTCCAAATCATGAAGCTTCGATTATGCAGATTTGTTAATTCCATATAAATACCAACAAATAGTATAAAATTTATATATTTTTTTTAAAAATAAAGCAACTTTCATTTGCACCTCTTGTTCATACAAGCATGCACAAACGAATAATATTATATTAATATAAAAAAAACTAGGGTTATTTAAACAAGATGGTATGGGCATTGGGGACACACCATTGTTATAAATGTTTTCATATTCACATACTTCGAATGAATCTATTCATCTATGAAGTGTTCACAGTAATGGCTTATGGTGCTTTCTTTCCCCCCACCACAAATTTTCAACCGAACTAAACCCTAAACAACCACTCACAATGGGCTATTTCTCTTGCAACGGCGAGTCCGCAATAGCCACGTGCGACCCTCACTATTGGGACCTCAAGAAGAAGCCCACAGGCCCAACAAAAGCCCATCATAACAACTTAACCGTCAAGCACTTCGACTACACCGACCTCCTGGCCGCCACAAACTCTTTCTCCGCCGACAACTTCTTAGGGAAAGGCAGCTATGGCAGCGTCTACAAAGCCACGCTCGACGGCGGACACCTCATCGCCGCGGTAAAAAAAACCAAACCCTCCGCCGCAAGCCACCACAACGCCGCCGACAACGAGATCGAGATTCTATCCCACGTCACGAGCCCTCGCCTCGTCAATCTCATTGGCTTCTGTAACGACCGCAACAACAAACTCATCGTCGTCGAATATATGCCTAACGGTTCACTCTACGAGCTTCTCCACTCCAACACGGTTCGACCACCGGGTTGGAACCGGCGCGTCCGGTTTGCGGTTCAGGTAGCGAAAGCGGTTCGCGGTTTACACTGTTCTGAACCGCCGGTTATTCACCGCGACATTAAGTCATCAAATGTGCTTATTGACGAGAAGTGGAACGCGCGCCTGGGTGACTTTGGACTCGCGCTAAGGGGACACGTGGAGGACGTTCGCGTCAAATGCACGCCACCGGCGGGGACGTTAGGGTACCTCGATCCGTCCTATCTTGCACCGGGGGACCTTAGTGTTAAGAGCGATGTCTTCAGCTTCGGGATCTTGCTTCTCGAGATAGCGAGCGGTAGGAACGCCATTGATGTGAACCATAGTCCTCCGTCGGTGTTGGACTGGGCGGTGCCGTTGATACGGCGTGGCGAGTTCGCCGGAATCTGCGACCGACGGATCGGAGCGCCGCCGGATGCGGCGGCGTTTCGTGAGATGGTTGTGATGGCGGCGAGGTGCGTGAGGTCGACAGTGGAGAAGCGGCCGTCGATGGCGGAGGTGGTGGAGTGTCTTAAGGCAGTGAGGAAGAGGTTTCACGCGCCGGTGATATGGAAGCGACTGAAGAGGCGCGTGGCAACGCGTGGGAAAATGTTGGGGAATGATTGTGACAGAAGTGAGGAAGTTGTGAGGGTAGTTAAGGGTGGGAATAGAAGGAATGGCAAGGTATCGAGCGTGACGGGCGTAGAGTATGAAAGTGAACCTGCGAATCCTGCGGTGAGGATTAGGTTAAGGTCGAGGTCGAGATCGAGATCCATTGGTTCTGGTTTTTTTAGTGATATAAAAATGAGATCGGTTTTGGATCCGAACCTAATTGGTTTGGGGTTTGGTAGTAGGAAAGGGAAAATGCTCAAGAGATCAAGGTCTATGGGACATTATGGCAGCGAGGCAAAGACGTTTCATGAGAAACGTAGCGATAATAATAATGACACGAGTTGTTCGACAGAGATGGCACTGTCCAAGTTGGCCATTGCGGATAAGAAGTTGGAACAGAGAATGCTTGAAAAACCTTTGGTTTATTCTCATCGTTTTGAGAATCCAAGTAATTGAGTGAGCATAGTAATTGTTTTTGTTTTGTGATTTGGGAATCTTTACCTTTTCATGATTAGGTTCAACTTTGAAGGATTCCAATAAACGTGCGAGGGGAAAAGTGAAGCTGTTTATTGTATTTTATGCTGATCAAAAGTTATTCATTAATTATTGTGTGTGTATAGATTGAGAGTCTCGTCTTTGAAGAGTGAAGAAGGAGGAAGGTTACACTGGAAAACCAGTTTTGCGCAAATGGAGATACTCTATATAGGCTCTGAGGTAGTAGCCACATTGCTGCATTGTTCAAATTTAAACTGTTGTATTGCACTATGTACTAACAGTTTAGCATCTTACCTGTCAGGGGAAAAATTCCTGTTCTGGTCAATTAATACTATTAAATTTAAATTCTAATTCAACATTTCTCTGTTTCATTTATTTCCTTGCCGGATATTTTTTGTTTTAATAATTAACTGGATTAATGTTTGAATTGGTTTAAAAAATCACAATAGAATCAGCCTAAGGAAAATAATATTTGATATTTGCTTTCATTAATTAGTATTATTAATTGTTTCATGGCTATCTTATTCATAGTATAATGCAAATAATACCTACACTTATTTACTTTTTATGCAGTGTATGTTGGTGAAGTTGTTGATATAATTCATCATTTACAATAGACGTGTCTCTAGAACTTTCATGATTTCATCTGGTTCATAAATAGGACTACGACCACAAAATGCATGCAGAAACAGTGAACATGTCTAGATGATTCCTAAGATTGATTGCTAGTGCCAAAATAATTGTGGCCGTTACATAATGCTCCTCCCGTTTCATATTATTTCTCAACCATTACATATATCTTTAAAAATATATTAGTTTAACTAATTCTTATATGAATAAAAATTATTTTTAAAATTTTTTTTTTCATTATAAGTGTTAAAGTTATTGTATTAATTAAATGATAACTAATTTTAAAACCATTTTAATTGTTGGTTGATAAAATTATTTGTAATAAATCAGAATATTATTACAAAAAGCAATAGTTACTTTCTTCACATTCTAAATATTAATTAAATAATATTTATTACATTTTTATAATTTTAAGATACTAAATATTTTTTTAATAAAAGACATCACTTTTATCTATTTATTCACAGCTTAAATATTTAGATTAACACATTTATTTTATAATAATTAAATAAAAAATTAATCAAAAGTAGTAATAGATAGTGAAATTGATAATTCATATATTAAATAAATAAATATATTGTTAACACAAATTTATAATAATTAAAAGTATAAAAAATTATAATTAATATATTTAAAAATATATCTTCAATAATAATAATAATAATAATTGGAGTTAGTAACTGTACAGGATCCTCACCTTCTGGATGTTAATTAACTATTTTTACCTTGTCTTGGGGCTATTATGAGGTGGGAGCTGAACTTGTATAACATTAAATGCATTTTGGTTCCTAGTGGAGGGAAGAGGCAGTGACTGGTAAGCTTTTATTTTTTGGGGTCTGTGAACTTTCACTTATTACTGCAGCTGAGTTTTGCTGTGCATCAACAACTTTTTTCTTAGATTCTCTAACTTTCCGTACCTATTGGGAGTCATTGCTGAAACCCAAGACTGTCCCTGTTACTGAATTCGTATCAACGTTATCTCCTCAACGTTAACCATTGTGAATATTATTATTTTTTAGCCCCAATAGATCCTCTTGAGCTCCAAGTTCTCTAGAGCAAAACCATGATCATTGATATAAAATTCAATCCATGATTTTTATTTCGCAAAAAAAACAAGTCCTCTTATTCTGCAATAAACTCTTGTTAGTGTTTATATTTTAAAACTATCTATCTACTTATATCTCATTCATGCCACTGTCAATTTATTAATTAACTATTGTCATTACCTAGATACCTACTTTATTCGTTATAATCCGCAGTATTCTCTGGAAGACTCAAATGTAACTTTTGTAAATTTGTCCTCATCCGGTTTAGTCATTTTATTTCTATTCATATCGCAATTATGTCCATGTCTTCCGTATACCTAATTAATTGAAGGTTGAAATATTAATTTAGCGGAACATCAAAGCTAAAAATTATTTGCATTAAGTTAAAATTTATATATAATTAATTGTGGCTGTCCATATGCACTTCTGCATCTCATGAATAATGAATGAGAATGATATCACTTCTCTATTTGTCATGCTTTCCTTCGTATTAAAAAAAAATATTGACATGAATCTTTAAAAAATAATTTCAAAAATATTGACATGAATCTTTAAAAAATAATTTCAAATAATAAAAAGTAATGATTTTTTTTTATTAAAAATTTGTATTTAATCTAATTCTAAGACCTGATGATAATAAAGTTATTAAAAAAATTAACACTTAAAGAGCTTTATTTAAAATTTAGTTCGAGTGTCATTTTTAGTCAAATGAATTAAAAAAAACAAAAGAAATATTCTATTTGAAATCATGAAACAATTCATGAAGACGAAAGCTATTAAATCGAATCGCTTTCTCTGCTTATACCCCATCATTTTCAGTGATTAATGTCTCAGGCTGAGAAATAAGAATTTATATGAGCCTTTTCGAAAATTGCTGTCCTTTCCTCATCCTACGTTCGTGGACCGTAAAAAGGAACGAATGAAGCAAATTGACAGGCGTTTCTTATTGTCCATTTTAATTCTTCTTTTCATACAAATTAATTGCTCATTTTCTCGACAGTTTGTTTTCCCTTTTGTTTACGATAAAAATTGCAAGTTGTAAACAAATAAATTCAAAAGTAACATGAAGACTAGATTTTAAGTTTTTTTGAATTTTTTTAAGTGTGTTGTAATTAAACTGATTGAATAAATATCATAAAATATAAATTTAAACAAGAATAGCAAAATGGAATAGAAATAACATCAATTAAACATAAACATTTATAGAAATGTAATAAACAAAGATGTAATTACAACAATAAATAGTGTAAAATGAACAAAAAGTAAATAAACAGAAATTAAACTGTAGAAATATAAACGTACGATTTTCAGCAATGAACTACAATTATCGTGAGTCTTCTGACAACTTGCGTCTAGTTCGGTATAGAATTTTAGCATGCACAGAGTTTAGGTGCACATCTCCAAGAAAAGTGAAGCTTCATAACATTTATAGACGGTGCTTCTCAACCGTTATCCTACTTTCGCAAACACTTTCTGATAACTGCTTACTGTGTGTGTTAGCCCTCAACCACTGAATCTCATTATCAATAACTGTTTATGGTCTATGAAATTTCACTTATTAATTCTTGCTCTGACAATGATCCTTTTGAAGGAAGCTGTGTGCTGGTAGAAGTAGTTATGCCTCCAAATTTTGAGGAATAGATGGAATTTAATTAAAATTTGTATGTGATACTGCCAAGCCAAGTGTATTATGTTTTTTTGGTTATGTGAGACCTGTATTTTTGTAAAAGATGTTTGAACATAACATCTAATACGATTTCGAAATCGACTTTGACTTGTACCTTTACTATTATTGTGTGCCATCTGTTTGCTTGAAAAAAAAAATATAGGTAAATTTGATGCACATAAAGATGACATATACTATATAATTACCTAAGGTGATAGTGTATCACTTAAGTCAGTATTAATGTCACTTTTACTATGAGTCTCACTATCACATTTAGTTGAGGAGGATGTATCATCATTCTGTTCATCTGAATTTTGTTGATTATATAATGATGTAACATCAACTTCGTCCCCTTCACCATTAGTATCAACAAGACTATCATTATAAAGATCATAATCAAATTGCAACATTACATGAAGGTCATCAACAACATGCACATCTTGATATGGAGTTTCAATGTCAACTTGATCAAACTAGTTATTATTTATTGTACTGTGTGCCTTAGTTTTAATGACAACTACCCAATCACGATGTCCTTTTGGATATGGTGTGTAACAAACTTGTTCAGCTTGTTGTACAAAGATGAATGGGTCATATACTTTATATCTTTGTGATTGCTTAAGTTAAACAATTTCATATTGTTTAGCTACTTTTGTACATTGATTAGGAGTATTATCAAATCACTCACACTTAAAAAGTACTAACTTTTTAATGGGCGCATGACAATATACTCCTATTTAATAATATCAGTCAATATTTCATAAAAGTTATTTTCTAATGCATCGCATGTTCCTTGTAGGCAGATACCATAATTAGAAGTTTTCATGCCTTTGTGTGAAATTTATACCCATTTATGATGTAAATATGCCAAGACTCAACCCTTCTTAATGGTCCCCATGCCAACAAAATCAATAGTGGTTCTTTGATTTTATTTTGTGGATTTTGAACCTATTTATCAAATGTAAAATTAAACATAATAAAAAATTAGGTATAACATTACTTGAATATTATATTAAAAAAAAAGGAGACATACATATCCTTTGAACTAACTAGGAAAATGAGAGGCAATTTCTTGTTTAATTTGAGAGTTTGAAATATCATGTTGAAGCTTTTGTAGTAGTTTAACATAAATACTACAAATATTGGACAAAACGTGTTAGGAGTAAAAACAAAAAATATTTAGCAAAGGTCATCTAATTGAATGCAGTAAGACATTGATCAACTTACTCTAAATATGACTTTACTTCTTCACAATTTTGTAGAACGTATAGATGAACAACTTTTAACACATATTCTTCTAAGTAATATTGTTAGGATTTGCCACAACTGTGTTCTAGATAATTAAAAATATAGATTGGAGGACTAGATGAACAACCTTCGCCTTCAAAATTACGTGAAATTATAGTTCTTCTTGAATCTATGTTTGATGGATAGTAAAACGAAGCAAAAGTATATGTTTCTTCTACTAAATAGGCTTCACAAATAGTACCCTTTATCCTGGCCTTGTTCTTCACTTTTTCTTTCAAAGATCGTGAGAATCTAAATGGATACATTGTAGTTAATTAAAACATGTAGTAATAAAGATTAAAAAAATATCTTTATATTCAAATTATTTAAAAATTTATACCTCTCAAATAGATACATCCAACGATATTAAACTGGACCACCAACACGTGCTTCATAGGGCAAGTGAATTGGAAAATGTTCCATTAAATAAAAAAAAAAGTTGGCAGAAATATTTGTTCCAACTTACACAATAACACAGGGATAGCATGTTTCATATCTA